TGCCAGAGTGGGTTTTGTGCTGACACAGGCAGAGGCTGTTTAAATATTTGAGCAGTTTCCTCCTGAGACCTAAAGTTGGGAAGCCCTATTTCTGCCTCCAAATGCTTGCAGGATCCATGTGGCCATTAACATGCCTTAATGTTTGGTGAGTCAGACTAATCATCTTCTCTGTGTTAGTCTGGGGCTTTCAGAAGCTACAACTACTTTTGGGGGGAGGAGATCCTGATAGTGTAAGATGGTCCAGTTAGTTGGCGCTTGGTGATAAAAAGGACAAAGGAGAGGGTTAGATTCTCTGAATTAGTTAGCTTTACACTGGCTTAGTGCCTTTGACCCCATCTAGGCCTAACCTTTTTCAAAAACATTCCCCTGGTCTCAAGGGAGAAAAAGCAAGGGAAAGTAATACCTCTCTTAGCACCCAGTCCCTCTCTCTCTGTGGCTGGAAACCTCCTCAAGGTTGGATAGTAATATCTAATGTGTTAGACAGAACATCATTCTCATGACGTTGTTCACCTCAGTTTGACAAATGCCTTCTGAATACTAATTATGGGCCAGGAGATGCATGAGGGGCTGAAAGTATAAATGATGAAAACAATAGTCTCCACAGAGCATTTCAATTATATCAGTATTGTTTTATTTCCTAAGCTGGGTGGTAGTTATTTAATCTTTATATTTTGTATCTCTGGATTATGTTATAACAAAAATTTAATCAACAACAGACAACAGAGTCTCTGCCTTTTACGAGCTAACAGTGTTATTTAATGCAATGGTGGTGTGTGCAGCCATTGGGTGTGATAGAAACATGGAGGGATGCTTCTCATTCCTCAGGGTGACAGTGGTCAGTGCCGATCCCCTAGAGAGATAACACCCAAGATGAGTCTTGTAATGTGGGTAGAAGTTAATCCAGACAAAGAAGGAGGAGGGTGTGAGGTTCCAAAGGAAGAGTGTGAGTAAGGACGTCAGGAAACAGAGCAGTGTCCTGTCAAGAAGAGAGAAATTATGAGATCAAAATGGGGGAACAGGAGCTAGGAAGGAGGGGAGGAAGCAGGTCAAAGGCAGATAATTTTTCTGTACAAAAAGATCTTGTTCTGCATTTAGTGAGCAACTAATGAAGGAATTTGAGATTAGATAATTTTGGAAGTAGTGAGGAGAATGGATTCGAGGGAAGATTGCCTGGGAGGCAGGGAGATGAGTTAAAATGAAGGATGAAAAGATCAGTGGGAGCCATGATAGAAAAGATATGGATTCAGAAATGGTCAAGGGGTAAAATTGGTGGCAACTGATGATCTCTTGGATGTAGGTGGTGAGCGAGAGGTTAGCAACGTAGGAGAGTACACAGAGACATGGACTCAAATAACTTGGATGAGAAGTTAGTATCACATGAAGAAAAGAAAAGTCTGATATGCAAGCATCTTTTTGCATTGCCCTTTTGGCATTTCTGCGTGGCAGCTGGGAAACCAAACAGGCGCTGGTTTAGATCTTTGCTGTCTGTGGTTCAAGGATGCATCTAGTGAATAGATGCTGTGAGACCACAAAGTATGTGTGGGAGATCTGGCGCATGCTTGACAGGAAACCCAGCTCCAGGTCCTCATGGGAGAAGAGCAATCCAATGCCATGTCTCTTACAAACATTTCCAGACTCCACATTTTCATGTGATGTGTGCAGACCACTAACATGACCATCTTGGATCTAGTGTTCAGCACATTGTAGATGAGGTGATCTTTACATGTTCTATATATCAAAAGGAGATTTGGTTCAAATAATTAAAAAACAGTCTGGTTCAGAGATGGAGAGGCATATGACTGTACAAAAGAGATGACACAACTGGATATGAACTATTCCAACAGACCACATGGAGGCTGTGTGATACTCATTTTTGAGCACAGCACATGCTGAACATGGAAACTTAATAAATAGTTTTGAATATATGATTAGAAAAAGTGATCTAGTTGGGCCAGGAAAAAGAAACCTTAATTCTGGAGTGAAGAATTAAGCTTTTTGAAAAACAAAAGGGAAGTCCCAACATAAAATCCCAAAGTAAAATGGAGCATGAAATCTGGCAGAGTCAGGAGAGAAAAAGACACCACACCTGGAGCAGACTAAGCCTTCTCAGCTGGGACTGCCATAAAATGGGCTCTCTGGAATGATGGATGACTGGATGCACGTGCTGCCCCAGAAACCCAGCCAGGGCATAGGGCCTTGCTGATGCTGATTTTGGTTCAAGAACCAAGAGAGAACAACCTTGGTAAGAATTTTATAAATACCTGGGTTTGATGGCCAGTGTATACTCTCCAGAAGTAATTATATTGGAAAATAAGAACAGAGCAAGAATTAAATGTTTCAGATTCAAGTTAGGGCAAATATGTCATCCATAGTTTCACCAGCAGCAGCATGACCCCCATTAAGGATCCTGGTAAGCCAAGGGAAGTGATCAAAGATATGCTTTATTTCATTTGCTCTGATCGGGTGGCCACCCTGCCTCTTATACAGTTATGTATCTTTTGCTAATTAAACCAGGAGTTTAAGAACTTGGTGTGTAAGATTTCTTCCTGTCTATTTATAATCTGCCTGAGATACAACTGATACAATGACAGGTTCTGAAATGTTTGGTTGGTGTCAGAAGTGGGATTAATGAGCTAAGTACCCTCAGTATCTGATTTTGGAAATGGTGCCAGAAACCAAGAGATGAAACAGTGAGCTAAAGAAGTGTGGGGGGAATCCAGGTAGCCTTTGGTGTGAGATGAGTAGGTCCTGGGGAAGATACTCTTGGAGGAGAGTTGAAAAGTGGAATTCATTCACCGTACCTTTATCTTCAACCTAACGGGACTTGTAGATAACAGGGGTGAGTTAATGGCAAGGTAGCCTGAATACAGTTTCCTAGTCTCTACTCTTATATAAGAATAAAGTGATTGCACAACCCCATGAAATTGAAAAACTAACGGGATGGGGAGTTTCTGAGGAATTCCTGTCACTCTAGACTGGCAGAATCCCTGGATTGGCAGGCAGTTAATTTCTAGCCAGAAATTCTTAATTTGGCAGGGAAAATTAGAACAAAGATATGCTCTATTCTCCTTGTCAAAGTAGTTAAGAAAAAAGGAAGCAAGATTAGAGTAGAAAGGTATTACTTTTACTTTTATCTCAATTACAATATGTGTGTAAGTCTTGTTTTAATGTGGAAGCCTTAAAAGGGAAGTAGGAGCCTCAAGCTCTGTGACGTTGGAGATGCCTGAATGTACTGCTTTCACTGGGTAGAGCTTCAGAAACTCATTTAAACTTGAAAAAATGTTTTTTTTTCCTAAATGAAAAATTAAAAATATGTGAGGACTGAAATTTCAATTGGTAAAAGTATAACATCTTCTGTGTCTCTGACATTATTTTAGGATAAGGTGCCCTGGCTGGATTGAAGCCAGTTGAGGCACAGGGTGAGGGTGGCAACACGCCTGGCATCTCCAAAGCTATAAGGCCTTGGAAGCACAATTTCACCCTCTGTGGCTGTGTTAGAAGTTAGACGTTAGGGTGCAGCTTCAGGGTGGGAGGGTAATTGGACCCCTCTCTCATTATGTAGTAAAATAATAAAAGGTGAGGCAATGCTATAGGGGATATACTGCTGTAGAGTTAGTGGGATGTTAAAAAATAGTATTTAGGAAAGGAAGTATTTATTGTATTGGAGGAGAAGAGGTATAAGAGCTAGGAGGCAAACTCCTGGGTCTAAAATTAACTTAATTAGGGCAAGTTGGGAAAGATACAAGAGTGTGGGATCAGTGTAAGACTTGGAGCCAGCACAGTAAGGGACTTGAAACTCTGGTCCTCACGGTAAACAAGCTAACATTTGCCCACAGAGCCTGCTAGTGAATGATCTGGGCCAGGGACCAGTGGCTCTTTGTGGACATAAGAGTAAAATGGCTTGGGGTACAAGGGTGCACAGTTTGAAGCAGACAATGGTTCTGAAGCAGTAAAGTTTGTAGGATTGCATGGCAGGAACCACCCTGAATACAGAGCATGAGATAGACTATGGGAGAGAATACTGTGGTCATGGTCTTGGGACTCTATAAACTAAAGAGTATGCAGTTAAAGAGACAGGGCATGAAATGTGGAGAAATTAGCTTTCTGGAATGCTGGAAACCTGGAGGCAGAAATTTTATTTAGGAACATCTGTGCACTGACTATTTTATTTTTTAACCCAGATGAAGAGGTGGTTTTGAAGATGCTGAATCTGGTTTAAGAGTCAGAATTTAAATTTCTCCTTTAAATTAATATAAATATATACACATACCACATTTATAAAAATGCATAATTTATGTACTATATTGTCTTTTTGGGTATATCCATAATAATAAAAGTGTAATATAATAATTAGACTGGATGTCCTTCCAGACATCTATATATATATTTCTAGAATGGTTGACCTAAGTCCTGAATTCCTAAATAAACAGAGATCAATAAGAACAGCAAAATGTCAAGATTTGAACTTTTGACTGAAGTCCTATTTTTCATATATAGTGTCATAGAGCAGTTGACATCCCCTGTCAAGTTCTTTGAAAACCAAGAAAACCATAAAGAGATACTGTTCTTGCTTCCACTTTGCTTCCCAAAAGTTCTGAATCCTTGATTAATTAAACTGACAACCTCACCTTGCCTGATTGTGTATGTTTTTGTGCAAGTTCTCTCTCCGTGTATCTTCCTGCTAATGTCTAACCTACTTGAAAAAACTGCACGCATTCTAGTTTCGCTCTCACTTGGCTTTGGGGAGGGAACCACAGGCCTTTAGCCTGTTTTTCTGATTCTCAAATCTAGTCCCGAGAAAGCCCTGAGATTATTGTCTATTTTGCCATGAAAAGTAAACGTAAAAGCCAGATCAGCAGGCCTAGCATCAATCCTAGAAAAACCTTGATGAACCAGTTCTCCACTGTATCAGTTTTCCGCTTCATTCCTCTGACCTTGGACCAAATGACTCCAACTCCAGGGAAAATCTTTTAGATATTCAGGTACGAAGAGTCTCTTACCAGACGCCAAGAGATCATTGATGAGCACAAGGAACTTCTCATCGGCCACCTGGGCATCAGTCATGAGAAACACCGTGCTGATATTTTTCACCCCGGCTTTCAGGCACAAGCCGGCCAGATCCATCTGCAGAAACAATCACTATCAGAGATCTCTGTGAAGAGGGCCTTCTTGCAAGCGATCGCCACCCACTCTTTAGGAATGGGCCATTTTCTTGCCTACTTTCATTGGAAATAAAGCAAAATGGCAGCGGGAGGTAGGGAAGAGCTCCATTTGCGCTGACAGGATGATACACCTCATTCCCAGGCCTTGGCTGCAATAGAGGTGGGCAGGTAAAATTAAATAGTGATGCGCTTTACTTCATAAAACCACGGTGGCTCCTTGTTAGCTTCTAGGGCTCCTGCTTTGTGCACAGAGGTAACAGCTTTTCAAAGGACAGGGAAGACTCATATCATCATACAGTGAATGACCTGCCCCAGGAGGCAAGTGAGTGCTCTAGGTTTTCACAGAGCAAGACACTGGGGGGCCTTGGCCAGATGGCTCAGTTGGTTGGAGCATTGTCCTGTACACTGAAGGGTTGGGGTTCTATTCCCAGTCAGGTTGTGGGCTAAATCCAGCCTTGGTTGGGGCAGGCACATGCAAAAAGCAACAACTTTCTCTCTCTCTCTCTCTCTCTCTCTCTCTTCCTTTCTCCCTCCCTCTTCCCCTCTCTCTAAAAATCAATGAATTGTCCTTGGGTGATGATTTAAAAAAGGCACTTGGGGATATTTGCCTGGGCATGTATATATTTTATTCTAGCAGCATCTTATTTTCTTATGACTAGCTCCAGCAAAACACTTGTGTTGCAAAAAACATGTATTGGCGTGCACACGCGTGCGCGCGCACACACACACACACACACACACACACACACACACACTTGCCTGGTAGAAAATTAACATCCATTCAAAATTGCAGCTAGATACAGTTTTGGGCTAGGATTCCAAGCCCTGAAGTTTTCCAGTTTAGTCAGTCTTGGTTCCTTTGTTGTATCCCTCTCATAAAGCTTAGCCATCAGTCCCTAATGCTGGTCTTCTGCCTCTTGTACCACTCAAAGCTCATTCTTTAACAGCCTCATACATTTCCTTACAGTAGTTGCTCATGTTCAAATAAATTCCCCTTTAAAGTTAATAAACACCCTTTAGATCAATGGTTCTCAAATCCATGCATTTGCAGAATTACCGAAGACAATGCCTCTCAACTTCCACTAGAATCATCTGGGGGATTCTTTGAAAAGTCCTGGTGCCCAAGCAGTTGCCCAGACTAAGTAAGCCAGAATTTCTGGGGGGTGGGATGCAGGCATCAGCATTATTTGAAGGGTTTCTGTGTATAGTCAAGGTTGAGAGCCACAGTCATGGGTCATTCTGTAAATGCATAATTCTCATATTCACAGTGTTGTCTTCTCTTTTTTAGAAGTGGTAAAGATTGACCTACTGTGAACATGACCTACTGTGAATGACCTTAGGTTCAGCCAATCACTGAGATGCTGAGCTGTGGTTTCAGAGCAGCAGTAGGCACCCCTGGCTGAGAGCTTATGAAGGCTGGCAGGTGGATCTGGCTCAGTGCTGGCTAGAACTCTCCCAGGGACGGCAAGAGCAGCATTCTCATGGAAATTACATCACGACTCTCTCCCAAGCCCTGCTGTGGCCATGGATAAATGGGAGGGGGCTGGGCCAAGTGGCCTTCGAAAGCTATAGAGAAAGCCTTGCTCCTCTTTCTGGGCCCACATTGTGGCTCCCAAGTGCCTGATTCTGAAACCAGGAAATGCCACTGAAGGTCCCGGCAGCTGGTGGTTACTAAACACATGTTTAAAAGATGAATTCCTTATAGAACTTGGACAGACTGTCAGAGTTGCTCCTAAGTCGTAGAGCTGTGAGCACACTTGACATAGATGTGCTTCTGATTGGTGTGAGAGTTGAGGCTGCACAGATGTAGCTGAAGCAGCCGAGGTCCCGGGTCACAGACCTGGGAAGGCCACAGACCTGGGAAGGCCATGCTCTGAGGCTGAGACTAAGGAGAAAAGGGCCTCTCACCTCACCAGCCCAGAATCCAGGGAGAAAATGGATGGGCAGCTAAGCAGAGGTTCTGGGCAAGGGATCTGAGAGCCGATGAGAGGGAGCGTGGGCAGCTAGAGGAAGGCTGGCCTCCCCCCACAGGCCCTCCTCCATACCTTGAAGTCCAGGATCTGGTAGCCTTTGCGCAGCGTGATCTGGAACACATCCATGGAGCTAATGAAGGCCGCCAGCCTGGTCAAGCTCTGCTTGCCATTCCCACCCACCCCCACCAGCAGCGCGTTGCCCCGTGGGGACTCCAGGATGCGATTGATGCGGCAGCTGTAGGGAAGGAAGCAGAGGCACCAAGCTTCAGTCAGGCTTTTTGTGAGGAGCGTGCACAGTGAGGAGCGTGCACAGTGAGAGGCGTGCACAGTGAGGGGTGAGCACAGTGATGGGTGTGCACAGTGAGGAACATGCACAATGAGGGGGGCGCACAGTGAGGGGCGTGCACAGTGAGGAGCGTGCACAGTGAGGAGAGTGCACAGTGAGGGGCGTGGACAGTGAGGAGCGTGCACAGTGAGGAGAGTGCACAGTGAGGGGCGTGCACAGTGAGGAGCGTGCACAGTGAGGGGTGTGCACAGTGAGAGGCGCGCACAGTGAGGAGCGTGCACAGAGAGGGGCGTGCACAGTGAGGAGGGTGCACGGTGAGGGGTGGTGAGGGGCGTGCACAGTGAGGGGTGTGCACAGTGAGAGGCGTGCACAGTGAGGAGCGTGCACAGTGAGGGGTGTGCACAGTGAGGAGCGTGCATAGTGAGGGGTAACTAGAACCTCCCTGGAGCGGATCATGGGCTCAGCTGTGGGAAACTTGACTTAAATTGTCCCCATACCTGGTTACCTTCTTGACTAAGTGGATTGAAGTTGCCATGGTGGGCAGTGGAGGAACAGCTCAGGGCTTCCAGGCAGGGCTGGAGGGGGCATGTGATGGCAGGGATGAGGGGACCAGGGCTTAGCCCCTCCCACTCCCCAGCTAATCCTGACTCTGCCACCTCCCCACTTCATGTGACTTCATCTCTCTGTGCTTTTGGGCAAGAGGAGGGGGCAAGAAAAAGAGAAAAGTAGAAAGCATATCATTAGAAAAAAGTCAGGGCAAGGCCAGAGGACAAGCATAGACAGAAGCAAATTCAGTCAGCGAATAACAGAGGCTGACAGCTCTCAGCTCTCTCACCCTTCCTGGTGATGATGCCCTGCTAATGAACACTTGTGGATTCTTAGTGTCAGCCCTACAAGACACCCACTTCCTTGGCTTCTGGATTCTTCCCTTTGCAGCGGTACTTTACTCACCCAGCAATGGGGAAACATCCCCAGGCCCAGGCTTAGACCATGCCCTCCAGAGCAACACACTCCTCCATTGCGCTGCTCACAGCCTGCCCTCCAGGCCACCCCCAACTTTTAAAAAAATTCCCTTCAGCCCTAACTGGTTTGGCTCAGTGGATAGAGCGTCAGCCTGCAGACTCAAGGGTCCCAGGTTCGATTCCAGTCAAGGGCATGTACCTTGGTTGCGGGCACATCCCCAGTAGGGAGTGTGCAGGAGGCAGCTGATTGATGTTTCTCTCTCATCGATGTTTCTAACTCTCTATCCCTCTCCCTTCCTCTCTGTAAAAAACCAATAAAATATATTTAAAAAAATTCCCTTCAACGCTACGTACAGACCTATGTAAGATATCTACATTCTCTATAAGAATAACTCCCATTCCCTTTTCTCATCTTAAAAACAATAACTATTCGTTATAAAAAATGCATGGAACAGAAAAAACTACAATTCTATCTTGCATAAACACTATCAACATTAATTATATGTCCTTCTGAAGTTTTTCTAGCATCTGTACGCTTATAGGTATATATTTATGTGTACATAGTTTATTACATCTGAAAACTCAATATATTTCTCTCCCATATATTTTCAAAATGGGGTTCACATTGTACATTGAACATAGTGTTTTGAAATCATTCTTTTAGTTTAGCAGTATGCTGTGATTACTTCCCTATGCCACTGAGTAATCTGCTAAACCATGCTTTTAATTGTGGCACAATTTTCCATTCTACCAAATAAATTCCTTTCTGTAAAGCCTCCTGTTGGATATGTAGGTTGTTTCATACATTTTCCAGTTATTACTAAAGCTATGTGAATATTTTTAGTTCATATATTTATGTTCAATAGCATAAGTTCCTAGGAGCAAAATTTCCAAGTCAAACAGTACGACAATTTTTATGGCTTATGATACATATTGAAAAACCGCCCCCAGAATGGTAGCATCAAAAGGTGAATATTGGAGGATGAGAATATGTTAGGCAGGGTTAGTTGAATGAAAATGTGTTAAGCCAGTGAATTTGGGGATGCATAACACAGTAATGAAGCCACCGTGGAGAAATGGATGAGATGAGGAGGAAGAGACAACAGTGTTGGTGATCTTGGGATCCAAAGAATGTGCAAAACAAGAACTCAGGTGAAGTCCACCCAAATAAAGCTGAGGGTGACTTTCACAGGCCACCTCCTATGCCACTAAGGGTCTTGTGTTAACGATATTATAATGAGAAATCCCATATTCAAATTAACAAATGGTAATTAGGGGTAGAGCAATTTAGGGTCTAGCTAACCCCAATTTGGAGGAAGGGCTTGAGGGAAATTTTGGCGGTGGGGTTTGATATGTCAACAAAATACGAGTGAGTATGAGGTTAAAGGGTTCATGTTAAGCTTCTCTGGTTTGAATTTTATTACTGCAAATTTCTTGCATATCCTGATGACTTAGTCATGTAATTAGCATCAATAAACTACATGTCCATGGGTCCTTATCACCTCATCTCTCCTAAGCCTAGCAGAGGTGTGAGTCAAGAACTCCCACCTCCAGCAGAGGGGAGTCTTGCCCCCACCCTTGTGGACACTGGGTCTTGTGTTTGTTGTTGTTAGTCCTTACCCAAGGATATTTTTTCCACTGATTTTTAGTGAGTGGAAGGGAGGGAGGGAGGGAGGAAGAGAGAGAGAGAAAGAGAGAAAGAGAGAGAGAGAGAGAGAAATGTGAGAGAGACACATCAATTGGTTGTTCCCACATGCCCTGATAGTGGCTGGGGATCAAACTGGCAAACCAGATATGTGCCCTTGACTGGGAATCGAACCCACAACCCTTTGGTGAGCAGGCCAACACTCTAATCACTGAGCAACACTGGCCAAGGCAGGTCTTTCTTTTTTAAGTTTTGCTTATTTAATGGTTGAAAAAATTATGGTTTTAATTTTTTGATATCTAGATAACTGAACATTTTTCTTTTTTAAAAATTAAATCTTTATTATTGAAAGTATTACATATGCCCCCTTTTTGCCCATATTGACCCCATCTAGCCCTCCCTGTCCCCCACCCTAGGCTTCACCATCCTATTGTCTGTGTCCATCGGTTATACATATATGCATACAACTTCTTTGGTTGATCTCTCCCTACCTGCCCACCTACCTCTGCCTTCCCTCTGAGATTCCATGGTCTGTTGCCTGCTTCTATGTCTCTGGATCTATTCTAGAACCTTTTTCTTATTAATCATTACATATTTCTTCTTTGTGAATTTTATGTCCATTGCCTACTTCTCAATTGTAGTGTTCTTCTAAATTTGTAAGACCTCTTTATATATGTCTCAAAATCCTCCCCCACCCTCAATTTGGCACTTTTATCTTTTCATTTTGATGTTTTCTATGTACGGAAAATTTCAGCTTTTTGGACTTAAACTGTATGTCCCTAAATTTATGCAGTTAAAATTTATTTCCCTAAACATTTAGGAGTTTTTTATTGAGCTGCACTTAATTCTTTCATAATTTTATTTTTTCACTTCATAATTTTTTTATTATGACACTGTACTCAGTCTTGTATCAGGTAGATTTACACTGCTCTTGCTCCCTTATTAAACCATAGTTTCTAGATACCAGAAGAGTGTGTATAATCATCCTGTACTCTCTGTAGTGCTAGAGCACTGAAGGCATCCTACACAGTTCTGTTAAGCAGCAACAAGTACCTAATACCAGCATCACATTTGGGGTGATGCACACAATTGCTCATTATGTTGGGTCAAGGAGTCGTCTGCTCTGTGTCTACATTAGATGGTGTCTGATGACAATGACAAAAGGAGAAAGTCTGGCGCTAAGATATCCAGGTCCCCTCTTCTAATTAAAAAAGGAGGGGCCAGAAATGGATTAATGGAAGAGAGAGGGCAGCTGGAGGATGAGGGGAAGTCCAGCTGGTTCTCTGGGCTGCCCAACACCCAGCTCTACTCCAGAAGGCCTCGACTCAGCTTAGCATGGTGCGTGCTACTCAATATCTAAATGGAAAACACATCATTCGTGATGAAGTTTCCGAAGAAGAATGGGCGAGTCTGCAGCTGTCAGCATTAGACTCCAGCTGGGGATTCATTAACAACCTCTGACGAGGGCAAAGGACTCTGCATTCAAATTACAACATTTACAGAGAAGATCAATATTCGGAAGGGCTACTGGGCCAGGAAAGCACGGCATCTAAGTGAATTCATTGCAGCAATTCTGGCCGATTAAGAACAAAAGCTGACGATGTACACAGCACAGCTGGAGGAAGCTGGTGTACTGAAGACCACACACACACACACACACACACACACACACACACACACACACAGAGGAACGGGTCAGATACTCCAGTGAAGGGGCACCAAGTACATCTGAGGCTCCTTTTTTTCTAAGAGAAAAGAAGACAAGGCAGGAAGATCCATGTGGCAGTGAATGAAAAGGAAAAGATAGGTTATGATCAGGCCCAGTGCAGGGAAAAGGCCCGGCGTGAAGCTTAAAGACACAGCAGAACAAGCCTCTGCTGAGACGGTGAAGGGAGCCAGGAGGAGAGCAAAGCGGTACCATCCGGGGAGAAACAACGGAGGGAAGAAAAGACTCGCAGCTACGGACTGCTCACCACGCGCGAAGCACTCCACATGAGTAACAGCCCCTCGGGAAAGGCATTCTCATCCTCCTCGTCCTCTAGAGGAGGAAACAGGCTTGGGCAGGTTACCTGTCCTTCATGTAGGCCCACAGCCAAGGGTCGGCAGCGCCAGGATTTGACCCTGGGCCCGGCTCAATCTACAGAGCATGTGCTGTAACTACTCCACAGGCCCCATTATCGAGTTCATAGCAAAAGCAGCGAAGCTTAGGAAAGGCGTAGGGGAATCAAACAAAAGAAAATGTTAAGAATTCAAGTGGTGAGAACAAATAGCCAATAAACACTGAAATGAGCACAGGCCTTCAGGCACCTGTAAATGCAGGCCCTCGCCTTGGCCGGCCCCTCGGCCCTGGGCATTCGTGTGGAAGCGCACACAGTCCACCCTCTCTGCCCCGCCCTGTTCCCACCTTGGACATCAGAAGGTGGGACCTTTGACGTGAGTCCACATGCCTCTGCTGTGGGCACTGTGCAGTGATGAGAGGCCACGGGTCTGTGCCTCTCACGGAGTGGGTTTGCTCTGTTTTCTGTGTAAGAGGAAGAGGCAGTGGCTCTTTCTGGCTGGTAGGGGCTGCGGAGATGGCCGAGGGGCCGCAGGCAGGGAGGGGAGTGCAAGGATGGAGCCACGGGCAGTGGTATTTTAAAATTACACATCCAAATGCACTTTATTCCTCAGAATTGCCCCTCAGGGCGGTTCATTATATCCATTATTTTTCCATTGCTAAAACAATGTTAGTCAGTTTGATCACTCACGTTAGAAACCACATTGACTGAATCACTTGCTATTGTCTCAAATTTAATTTACTCTTAAAAGATAATTTGTCTCAATCCCAAGACTATGACACAGGCTCGGGGAGCTCTTAAAGGGGAGGAAAATGCTCATTGAAGTTTCAACAAGATTAGTGAACATTTCATTTTATTGTTGACACAATTACAGAGGTCTCCCATTTTCCTCTCCTTTGTGCACTTCCACACAATGCCCCCTCCCTGGCCTTCATTTAAAAGCCATTGTTTACTGCCCACCCTCTATGCACCAGGCACTGTCCAAGATGCTGGACACAGTAGTGAGTGGGACACGCCATAAAGGAGCTTCCACTGGATCAGGGGAAGGCAAAAGGCACATGAAGAAGCATCTAGTGCAGGGGTGGGCAAACTTTTTGACTCGAGGGACACAATGGGTTCTTAAACTGGACCGGAGGGCCGGAACAAAAGCATGGATGGAGTGTTTGTGTGAACTAATATCAATTCAAAGTAAACATCATTACATAAAAGGGTACGGTCTTTTTTTTCAAAAGTTTTATTCATTTCAAACAGGCCGGATCCAGCCCACGCGCCGTAGTTTGCCCACGGCTGATCTGGTGTGATGGTTGCGAGTAAACATTCCGGAACCAGACTGCATTAGTGTGAGCTCTGTTACCGATTTATGGGGCATGTGATGTTGAATGAACCTTCTTCAGGGTTTTGTGATGACTAAACGAACGGGAGCAAACATAATCAACATGGTGGGGGATTTTTCTTCAATAATCTTCAGAAGCTTAGGGGCAGGTGTGGAATAAGAAGACAGTGGGGTTTTGTCGCCTGGATGCAATGGCAGCAACGTTTAGGGAGCTCGCACCAGGATGATTGAGCCTATGGTGATTGAGGAAAGTAAAGACATGGTAGATGAAGGGACAAAGGAGTTTGGGAAAGCAGTTTATTTCTTTTCATGAAATAAAGTCTCAATAAAGTTTAAGAATAACCGGAACTGGAGCAGGTGAATGGAAGGGTAGGCAGTGCAAATCAGAGAGTGGGAGGTTTGAAGTTGAGATTTTGGAGGTGGGTTCATTCTTGATAGAAGTTCCAGGATAGGAACATGTGAATGAGTGGCTGAGGGGGGATGGAAGAAAGACCCCTGGAGCTAAGGAGGCTGAGGAGCAGAAGGACAAGGTGTACATAGATGCCAGGAATGAAGAAAGGTGTGATGGGAGAGAGAAGGATGGTCCCAGCAGGAAGGATGCTGGTGAATGATGGGAGTAATGGATGCTAGTAGATGCCAGTAAGAAGAGGAGGTAATGAAGAAGTAATGAGTATGGAAGTCCAGTTGCTTGTGCTTCAAAAATCCTGGAGTTTGTGGAGAATAAAAGGAGGAATGCCATTGGGATGGTGTGGGGTAGAGAGGTTCTTACTTCTCTCTAGGCGAGCCGTGGGCAAACTACGGCCTGCGGGCCGGATCCGGCCCGTTTGAAATGAATAAAACTAAAAAAGAAGAAAAAAAAAAAGACCGTACCCTTTTATGTAATGATGTTTACTTTGAATTTATATTAGTTCACACAAACACTCCATCCATGCTTTTGTTCCGGCCCTCCAGTCCAGTTTAAGAACCCATTGTGGTCCTCGAGTGAAAAAGTTTGCCCTCTCCTGCTCTAGGCCATGGGTACAGAGAATGGGGAAGAAAAACCAGCTGTCCTCAGCTCAGGGTCCGTCAGGTCTCAGTCAGAATTTATCAAAGACAGAACAGTTCAGAGAAGTTGAAGATGAAGTAATTTTTACACTTAAGACCATGAGTACAGGAGACAGGCTGGAAGAATTTGTGCCGATAGGGAGGGGTGGTAAATGTAAAGAGGGGGGATATAACGAGCACAGTAGGGATAGCAATGGCATGACCATAAACTATCTGGGAGGCTTAGTGACTACTTCAGTGATTCATTTGATAGCAACAGCTCCTATAAGGACATTTAACTTTTGAAATAGATGTGCACCTGTCTTAAACAAAAAGCTCCCATCTCGTTATTATAAAATTGGCCCTTGGACTGGAATGGGATCGGGATGCAGATGCTGAGCTGTCTGATGCTCCTGTTGTTACCTTAAACTTTCCCATGATATCACTGTGGTCATGCCCAGGGACTGTGAGTGACCGACAAGGAAATGATTCCTGTTCTGCCCGAGGTCAGCATCAGGGTGCCCCCTAGGGCCAGTGGCAGGAGCTGCAGCTACCCCTTGACCACAGAAGAAGTAGCGGGATTCCTGGCTTGTCAGTGTCCTCCAATGCCTAGGTGAGACCCCAGATATGGGGAAGAGGAGGCAACTGAGAAAAGAAAACAAGAGAAGCTACTTACACATGGCGCATGGCATCCTCAAACAGAACCAGGTCCATCACTGCGTTGACCTCATTGTGATTCTCCAAGGCTTCCGCCAGGGTCTGGGTCAAAAGCTCCCATGATTGTACGGGCATGTACTTGGGCTCCCCAATGCCATTTGCAAAGTGGCAATACATGCTCAGGCTTCCAGTCTGCTCCACAGTCTCTTCCATATCCTGGGGATGGGATACATTGACTCAGTTCTGGTTCCACACAGAGAGGAGAGCCCCGACTTCCCTCATCTCTAGGCACCTCCCTAAAATCAAGTATCAGTGCGATTCCAACACTTTTCCTCTGAGAGAGGCCTCTAAGGCGGGAATGTAATATTCGCGTATCAGCTCCATGAAGTCATGGGTGATGTTTTATTCCTTTGGGGCTGAGGATGAAAAGGAAGAAGGAAGGTCCCCTCCTCACAAGCACAGTAAGAAATGGGCTTCGTTCTGAGCAGAGCAGATGGGGACACAGGGTGCACTTCTCTGAGCAGGGTTCTTTCACCAGAGCTGAGTGAAGGAGATCATGGCTTCATCTCTCCAACACCTTCCAACACGTCTTATTCTGCAACCCACAGCAGTATCCGAAGGCATCCTCTCCTGTTCCCTGTGATAGTGCATTCTAGAGCAGTGGTTCTCAACCTTCCTAGTGCCGCGACCCTTTAATACAGTTCCTCATGTTGTGGTGACCCCAAATTCCATTGTTACAAATTGAACATAATTAAAGCAAGTGATTAATCACAAAAACAATATGTAATTATATATGTGTTTTCCGATGGTCTTAGGCTATCCCTGTGAAAGGGTCGTTCGACCCCCAAAGGGGTCTCGACCCACAGGTTGAGAACCGCTGTCTTAGAGGCTGCAAGCCCTGACCATAAACTCAGCACAGAGGGCTTGGTTTCTGAAGACTATGCCACTAGCCATCCTTAGGTGACTGGTATGTTTATAAGGACATTGATCATCTTTTTAAAAATGTATTTTTATTGATTTCAAAGAAGAAGGGAGAAGAAGAGAGAGATAGAAACATCCATGATGAGAGAGAATCATTGATCAGCTGCTTCCTGCACACCCCGCACTAAGGATTGAGCCCATAACCTGGCACATGCCCTGACTGGGAATCGAACCGTGACCTCATAGGTTGACACTCAACCACTGAGCCACTCCAGCTGGGAAGGCCATTGATCATCTTAAAGCTTTTGCAGTAGAACCCCTACTTATAAAACTCCCATAAGCATTTGGGCGTCTTGTGTGCCAACTCTTGTCCCCAGGACAAACCGTACCATGTGTAATGAATACTTAGTACAACTCAACCTAAAAGATATGGAGTCTGTTTCTCTTCACCACCACTCTGGTCGCTAAGTATTGAAGACATGGCTGATTTTCTTTTAATTCAGAAGGGACTACTTACGTGTCAAACACAAACACCTGAGATTTCCAGAGTAAGAAGGGTTGTAGAGGAAGCAAGTCTAAGAAAGAACAGGTTTAAAAAGATGAGGACACTAAAATTTAAAGAGTAAAATGGGTTAAGGACATAAAATTTACTGAATGGGGAAGCCAGTATTCAAATCTAAGGCAGTTTGATATGAAGATTCAGATTCTAATGTATGCCTCATAATGTGTTCTTTGAACTAATGAATTTATAAATTACAGATTAAACTGATATCTTGATATATATAAAAAAAGAAAGAGCGGGTTTTCTAACACAAAGGTAAAATGTATACCAGCACGAGCAATTGCCCTCACCGGCCGTTCTTTCCTCCTGAAGTTCAGACTGGAGGGCCACCTGGAAGAGAGTCAACCAGCCTGCTGTTCACAGCAGGAGCGCTGCCCAGGACAAGGGCACCTTGGGGTCAGCCTTACACTTAAGCCTGTGGGACTAGATTCATCAAACCTAATGGAGGGAAAGTAATATCCTTAGGAAAACCAGGACTGTTGCCTGGTAATAAGAAGTGAAAGACTTAACTATCAAAGAGCTATTATATTTTGAAGGTAGTTTTAGGGCCACAGAAAGCACTATTCTGGCTTAGCTGGACAGTCTCAATAAATGCCAGACATTTGGATAACATAATGCAGGAGAGCCATTCTCGCGGGTTGAGGAAAACTTGTGGAAACAGATGTGGGAGTACAGTTACCCAGTTTGAAAATGAGCTCATATGTTGGGAATCAGTCCTGATGGCAGTCAATTTACACTGACGATACAGCAGAGGAACAGTGGAAGTGAGACCTGGAGAGCCCGGCCTACAAAGACTCTTTGATGAATAAAATACGCCTCCAGCTCTGTGAGCAGAGCCAGGCTGCATAGAGGAGAGAGGGAAACTCAACCCACACAGTGAAAAAGGTTTCTTCATAGTGAGACAGCATCACACAAGGGCCACACATCAGAGAACTTTAAGCTTAAGCTTTACGGTAGAAACAGGACTGCATCACTTCCTTGGTGAAAATTTGGCAACTTTTCTTTAATAAGAACACCAAGATTTGGTGCAAAGGTGCTTCAGGCTGGCATTTCAATTGTTGTTGGGACTCATAGATACAGAGAACACTGTGTTGGTTGCTAGGAGGGATGTGGGTTGGGGGCTGGGTGAAAAAGGTGAAGGGATTAAGAAGTACAAATGATTAGTTACAAAATAATCATGGGATTATTAAAGTACAGCCTAGAGAATACAGTCAATAATATCCTAATAACTATGTATGGTGTCAGGTGGGTACTAGACTTATTGGGGGGATCACTTCATAAAATTTTATAAATGTCAAACCACTATGCTGCACACCTGCAACAATATAAAAATAATACTGAGTGCCAACTGTAATTGAAAAATTAACATTTGAAAAAAGAAGATAAAGCCATGAATTCATGCTTTTACAAAGATGAATCAAAGGGTCTACTTCAGCTTAATATCTGGGGCCTTACTTTGTAAATACACCATGAAACCTGCTGAGGCCTGTTCATGTCCACGGCCTCTACAAGGCCCTCTCGGAGGTTCCACCCCCACAGTTACCACACACCACTGCTCTACATGGGAAAGCTTATGATAACCAACTGCGTCTACTCTCACTCACCTTTCATTTTCAGTACCTTACGTTTACTAATATATTGAGAATAGAAAATTTTAGAATCACTTTAATCATAGAATTGAGGGGCTATTTAACCCAACTTTTTCATTTTTACAGATAAATAAAAAGAGGTCCAGAGAGGTCAAGTATCTTTGCAAGGTCATGAAGCTAGTTAGTGGCAGCACTAGTCTGACTTTAAGTCCACGACTCACTTTATCATAGCACTTTGTACAAATTGTTTAAGAGAACGAATGTTGGAGTTAATGGCTAAAACTTTAGACATATTTCAACCAAGCTTGCCAGACTCAGTAAATAAAAATACAAGAATCTCATGTAACTTATACCAAAAAATTATTTGTTGTTTATCTGAAATTCCATTTAACTGGCCATCCTACTTTAGAATCAAAAGGAGTATTAGAAGCAAAAAGAGCAACGTGAAACAAAACAGAGAAAATCGTGTTTCTGTTTAAACAACGCGCCCCCCCACCCCTCACCCCTCCACCGCCCAGAGCACGGCACTACTTACAATGCTTTCCACTTAGAACCCAGAGTGACCCAACGGCCAGAAATACATCATCAAGGGATCTCAGAACCTAAAGCAGCAATTTGCAACTGCTGCGCCTCAAGAATTTTAAAACATGCAACACCTGACTATTTACCAGGGTCCTGGTCTCTTTTCCCTTTCATTATCAAATAAAAAAATGACAATAGCCAACACAACAATAGCCGTCTGGTGTGAATGAATCAAAATTATACCTATTTGTTATTTGTCAGATCGGCCAAAAATATAACATTTTTTTAGTGTGCGGCAGAATTTTAGTAGTTTATGTGTGCCGTGAGGTGAAAAAGGTTGAAAACCACTGATCTAAAAGAATATCTTTGAAATTTTAATTTTGGTCCAACACTAATAGTATACAGTACAGGTATCCCTCAATATATGCACATATTTTACCAAGAAGATGGTTGTAAAAAGAAGTTTCATAAAGTCAGAATAGCTGGACAAGGCCAAAAGTGAGACATGTCATCACCCAGCAGCGTGAGCTGTTCATGGCTGCACAAGTCACAGACAGCTGCATCGGCCTTGGGCATGCTCACTAGGAAAGCTGGCTTAGGCAGGTGGAATGTGTGGTGATATCTTACCAATGGTATGGTATGGAGATAGAGTCATTCTATCTCATCCCTAAAAGGAGAAAAGGATCAAGAAGTTTGCTTTTGCAGTAATAAAAATCAGGAATGAAGTGCTTATATTTACAGCCAAGCCAAATGGTCCAGATTCCAAATATTCCATTGTTAGGTAACAGAGTAAAATTTCTTTACCTAGTTTATGCTGTGACAATGTTTCTTCATAATAATGGACATAGTACTTTGCAAGAATATGTGAAATTAGTGCTTATTTTTACAATATTCTAAATGAAAAAGGGGATAAATTTACTTTAAAAGGAAGCTATAAATGCTGTTTGTGTAAAAATAAAAATGTGCACTAATCAGAAACAAAACAACCAACAAATGTACATAATGGCAGTGTTAATTATGTCTGGGTCTATGGTAAAAAGGATGGGCTCAGATTCCAAATATTCCATTGTTAGGTAACAGAGCAAAATTTCTTTACCTAGTTTATGCTGTGACAGTATTTCTTCATAATAATGGACACAGTACTTTGCAAGACTATGTGAAATTAGTGCTTATTTTTACAAAGATTCTTACAATGAAAAGGGATAAATTTATTTGAAATGGAAGCTATAAATGCTGTTTTTGCAAAAATAAAAATGTGCACTAATCAAAAACAAAACAACACCAACAAATGTATATAATGGCAGTGTTAATTATGTCTGGGTCTCTGATCAAAAGGATGGGCCCTTAGTATACAGACCCACATAGAAACCTCTATCTCAAAGACTGAGTGTGGTCACACTAACGTGCTAGCTTAGACCAGTTTAAGAAAACAGGAAAGGCTCATTCGCAGAGCTAACAATGAAGACATAAATGGGCAAATTCTACAAAAGTCAGAGAGGAGTATCTGAGATGTGAGAGTGCCATATAAAAGTGATGGGAAAAGTTGGAGAAATTCAGTGTTCAGATTAGTAAAGAGAAAACTGTGCTAAGTT